CTGTTTGTGCAATCAGACAAAGCTCCCAGAGGTCAGTGCAACATCATGTGTGAAGGCGGGTTCGCTCCCAAAGCCCTCTGGCCCTCACTGCTGGTTGTCTCTGAAGCGTGAGACAGGCAGAAGGCAGGCGAGGGAGGGAGGCCTTAGAGAACAGGGTGAAGGCCCTAATGATGCTTCCCTGGGCTTGGCCAGTAGAGTCCAGGGAGGATCCCAGGGGTCATTGCTGGGGAGAGAAGCCAGGGGTCCACAGGAACAACACAGGCACTGGAGATTGGTTTTCTTCCTCAGGCCCACACCAGGCAATTCCTCAAGCTGAAGAAGGAAAGACAGATTCAGGGAGCCCCTCCAAGTCCCCTCTGCCTCCAGCCTCTCATCATTCTGAAGGGACTGCCTCACCACCCATCCAGTCCTCAGCCCAACCTGTCACATACCTTCCTCTGTGCTTGCCCCCTTTACCCCAGCCCCTCTCTCCTTCCAGGCTCCCCAGAGTCTCACCTTTGGCCGGGAGAGAGGCATCTGATCCCTGTGCACTGTCACTGCCTGGAGACAAAAGAGGGAAATGACCCAGTCAGGGACATACATTCCAGAACTGAGGTATGGGAACGGAAGGGAACACCATGGGAAGGCTACTGGGCTAAGCTTCTCCTCTGCCTTCCCATTGCTCAGATATCACATATCAGAGATATCATGGTCGGGGCCATTCTTTCTACCCTCCATGTCCACTCTTCACTTACCTGAAGCAGGAACATAGTGCCCCCCTTTTCTACCTGGAAAAGAAAAAAATTTCCAGTGAGGAATCCAGGAGAGGAGACCACACGGTCTCAGGAGTCACTGGTTTGCCTTGGAGACACAACAAATTACAACTGGGACTGCACCCCCATCCCCCACTCCAGTCCAGCCTCTGGATTCAAGAAGAAGAGAGAAGAGGCCCCCCCAAATGGGCACTTCCCCACCTTCAGGCCCACCCCCAGGGGTTCCCAAGACTGGTCTACAGCCCCCAGCTGGGGGGACACCCAGGCCCTCTGGCAGAGATCCCCACATGTACTTCTGAACTGAGTCTGCAGACTCCCCACTAGGCCAGTCTGTTATATCCCTGTCTGGCATCCTCCAGAAAAATGGTTTCTATTTGTTCAACTGGAGTCTTAGGGCCCAGCTGAGAGTCCCTTAGATGGGAAAGAGAGGACTTGGGGACAGAAAGACAAGCTGTGGGGCAGGGGAAGCCAGGATCTCCATGGTGCCTGCTCCCTAAGGACCCCCTCCCAGCCCTGCCCACCTGAATTCTTCTTCCGCCAGATCACAACTCCAGCAATGACTGCAATGATGACCATGAGGACAGCAGTGATCCCCACGATGACCAGGGTGGATGAGGACTCTGGCTCTGAAATGTTAAAGGGCAGTAAGAGGCCTGATCCCTCTGGGGCCTGAGATTTACTAACCCCTCTCCCACCTCCCCCCAGTCCTCCCTCTGGTCTTTTGGAGTGTGGGGGATGGCCTTTTCCCAGCCCCTCCTCACGGTCCTTACCCCACTTCAGGGTGAGGGGCTCAGGCAGTCCCTCGTGCTGCACTCGACAAGTAAATTTCTCTTCTTGTCCCGAGGTCACGGCCACACTTGCCCACTTCTGGAAGGTCCCATCTCCCGCTGGCCTGGTCTCAATGAATTCCATGTCCTGGAGCTGTTCCTCCCCATCCCGAAGCCAGGTCAGGGAGATGTCCGCAGGGTAGAAGTCCTGGGCCCTGCACCGCAGGGTCACCTCCCCATTGGAGGCAGTGTGTCGGGTCACTCGAGTGTAGGGCGGGTCTGGAGACAAAGGTCAGCGGCATTTCCAGGCTCTCCCTTTCCCCCCACCTCTGAGGGGGCACAAGGCCGGGTAGGGGCAGGGGGACACCCCGCAATCCGGGCCCTAGGGTACAAGGGGACCCTGGGGGTGGGGAGCCCGGGGCTGGGGCTGCAGGGGAGGGGGAGAAGGGGAGCAGGGGCCTTGAGTGCCGCGCACACTGGGGCGGGCCGCAGTACCTGCCCTCTGCAGCGTCTCCTTCCCCATCTCCAGGTACTTCCTCACCCACATCACGCACTCCTGCTCCAGATAGGCTTTATCTCTCTCCGCGATGCTCCTGTCCGCCTCCCAATTGCGCTTGGTGTTCAGAGCCTGCGGCACCGCCGCCGTCCACGTGGAGGTCTCCGTGTCCAGCGCCAGGTAGTCCTGCCCGTCGTAGGCGAATTGGAAAAACCCGCGCTTGAAGGTGAGCTCCGGGGAGACCTCGCAGCCGAACAGACGCTGGAGGGTGTGGACCCCTGCCCCGCCCCCGGCTCGGTCAGCGGCCGGACTCTGGCTGATCCCGTGCCCCGCCCCCAAGTGGGTCCTCCAGCCTCGGGAGCCCCCCCCGGGGAGCCGCAGTGACCGTGGGCCGGCTCGGCCCCGCCCCTCCCCCCACGTCACGCACCGCCCTCGCTCTGGTTGAAGTAGCCGCGGAGGATCCGCAAGCCCGCTCGGGAACCCTTTGCGTTCGCCTTATTGCGCCGCGTGTTCCGCTCCCAGCAGCCCGGCTCCTCCCGGTCCATCCGTTCCACCCACGCCGCCCGCGGCTCCATCCTCGGACTCGCGCGGGCGCTGTCGAAGCGCACGAACTGCTGATCGTCCACGTAGCCCACCTCGATGAACCGCGGCTCCGGGAGCTCGGGCGAGGCCATGACGGCGTCGAAATACCTCATGGAGTGAGAGCCTGGACGTGGCCACCCGGGCCGGGGTCAGGGGTCAGGGCGGTGACCGCGTAGACATAGCCTGTCTGCCGCGAAGGCGGGGTGCGACCCCTGACCCCGACACACCCGGGGAGTGACCTCCGACCCCGTCGTGTCCAGAATGTGATCCCGTACCCCTAAACCCCGGTATCCGGCCCCTCCGCCCCCAACAGTGATGGCGCGCACCGCGCCGGGAGGTAATAATTCTGGAGACTACAGCGCTTTGAGATCAGCAAAACGCCTTCACTGACAACCGACAACCCAGGCAGGTCCCAGTGCCCTTCCATCTGAACCTTGGCCCCCCC